TTCCTATTTTCTCACTGTGTGTGAATCTGCTTTGTCGCCCCTGTGTGGAGCTGGCCATGTACTAACTGTCCGTTATTTGCCTTTCATGATGCATATTTATTGCTTGGAACCAATGCCCACCCCAGGACTTCATCACAACCGCTGCATCCAGGTGTCTGCTGTATGAATAATATTTACCAACATACTTAAGAAACTGTTACTTTTTTTGGACCTTCTGTTTTAAGTTTAGTAACTTGATACAAAAGATTTTGAGGTCCTAGGGAAGGTCAAGTCACTGGAAAGAGAAGCTTGATTCTTTGAATCACTGTGAAAGACCACCTCCCAACCAGGAATACTCACATTGGCACTTGGACAAGAACTAAACTTTATTATATAGTAAGCAATTAAAAATGTATTCTAGTAGCTGGTGTTTCCTCACTAAAACAGTGCTGTTGTGTGTTACATAGCCCTTTGTTAAAGCAGTTCCTTTATCATCTTCCTGCTTTCCCTTTCTCCAAAAACTTGATGGGGCTTTCCACGAGGCTGGGAGGGAACAGATACTATATACCCCCAGTTTACATCTTTACTGTTAACGCTTTCTCTGACTGATCATCTTAAGTGTTTTAGACTTGACAGCATTTTTATCAATGCTCAGGATACAAACCATTGTGAAAATAATGGATTTCCAAATATCCTGGTTTTCTTTCTTCTGCCCCAGTTGCTCTTCTGCTGCCTTTAATTCTAAACTCAGTGAGAGATACCACTCTCCTCTTCAGTACTGATCCTTGAAGACTGTGTCTTACACTCTTCCAATTCCCTCATCTGTTTTTTTCACCTAAGCCATTAATCCAGCTTTTACTAGTTCCCAGCTTTTTTTTTTAAGATGTATTTATTTATGCATAAAAGAACTGGAGTACACGCCAAAGGTGTAAGAGGTGAGAGGATTCACCAGAGACAAAATGGGGAGCAGAACAGACAGATGTACTGAATTACACTGCTGAGGGGAGCAGCAGATGAGACAGGAAAGACCTGCCATGTCATCTGTGTCATCTCCCTGTCCAGGAACTGAATTTGTGCTGCAGTGGCTGCGGGTGTCTTCATAGTGTTGCACTTTAACCCCCATTGCACCGCCAGGGAGGGCCTAGTCCCCAGCTTTATCCTTCTTGCAGTTACCTTCCTTGTTCATATTTACTTTGTCCTAAGGCCATCAATATTTAACACAAAGCAGTTGACCTGCCCTGCATTTCTGGAATAAATCCACCTTGATAATGGTAATTCTTTTTTATATATTGTTGAATTCTATTTGGTAATATTTCACTAAGAAGTTTGTCATCTATATTCATGACGAATATCGATGCATAGTTTCCTTTTTGTGCTATCATATCTTTCTTTGGCTTTGTATCAGGGTAATATTAACTTCATAAAATGATTTGGGAAGTATTTCCTTTAAAGACTGTAGAATTCTCCAACCATCTGTGCCTGGAGATTACTTTTTTGGGAGAGTTTTAAAATTATAAATTCACTTTCCTTAATAACTTAAAAAATAGTCATTATAGGCTCTATTGTGATAAAAAAGAATCTTTCCTTCTGTCTCTTTTACTTAATCTAGCATACAACTTTGTGACTTCAATGCTGTGTAAAATTTAGGTTGGCACATTTATTGCAATGTTTCATATTTAGCTTGATTATTATATTCTTTCAATAAGTAAAGGTCTTTAGTATCCAGTCAATGCAGAGATAGGTGACTATTACTGTTATGAATAGTCTTTTAAAAGACTTGAAGTTTGTTGGTAATCTGCCTCTGGAAAGGCTCTTTGAGCTGAGCTATGTGCTTTCTTCAGCAGGAGTCTGGGAGAGCAGGAATTGCCATGGAGACCATGTCCACCTTCGGTGTTGGGCACATTAATGAGTGGCCTATCTATAATTTCAGAACTCTCAGATTGTACCCCATATTATTTGTAAACTATGTGTTTTGTGGTGATTCTGAAATAGCTTCGATGGCAGTGTCTCTATAATTCATTACTCAAACATGAAAAAAACCATTACCTCAAAATACATCTTAAGTATTTTAAATATACTGCCTACTTGCTGTAAGTGCACTACAAATGTGTTGTAAAACTTCTCTTTTGATTTAATGGAGCCTCAACAAAAGCTGTACTAACTCGAGGCAGAACCACTTTGATAAAAAAAGAAATAGAACTGAATTCCTAGTAGGTGAAAATATGGCAATATTGCAAATAGTCTCATTGGTTTTAGACATTGTCACAGGAGAAAAGAGAGGTTTACTATCAACATTAGTTAATGTTATTGTTCAGCTAAGTAAGATTTGATTTTATAAAACACTACTATAAAATTCTCTACATTCTTTTCATGTAGTTTGGGCATAACACAATGTAATTAATTATCCTGTTTGTTTAAGCAAAGTAAAAACATAATATGTGCATAAATATGTTACTTGAATGAAGACAAATGACTTACATTTGCATATTTTCATAATAAGAAAAATTTAAGCATGTAAAGTACACAGATCATAATTCCATACACATAAAAAATGATTAATTTTAAAACATGTTAGTTTCATGGTCCAGCTAGAGTTTTATCACTTTAAGAAATAAAAGCCTAAGACTAAATAGCTTCTTTAAAAAAAAATCTTTTAAATCAATTTATTAGCTAATTTTCAAAGCAGTATTTAGATATGTTAAAGTTTATAGTTATAGTTCTTTAGTCATTATGTTTCTGTGTGTAACATGGATATTTATTTAAGAAACAAAGCATAAAATCTACTTATTTTACAATTACTTGATTTTAACAAAACTGGTAAAAATAAATTAAGCTTTGTTGATCATAGGTGAATTTTTTTTTTTAAGATTTATTTATTCATACAGAACTGGGGTACAGGCCAGAGATGCGGAGGATGAGAGGATTCACCAGAGACAGAGTGGGGAGCAGAACAGGCAGATCAATGAAGTACACTGCTGAGGGGAGCAGCGGGCGGGCGGGTCAGGAGAGGTCTGCCACACCATAGGGATCTCCTCCAGGGCAGGCGGGGATCGAACTCATGTGAAAGTGGCTTAAGCTTCTTAGTGCAGTGCTTTAACCCGCTGCGCCACGAGGGAGGGCCCCCATAGGTGAATCTTTTAAAGGTAATTTTACACACGTTTGGATTGCTGGAGGAAACCTTCCACAATTCTGTCAATATCTGAATGTTATCAGTGCTATTCTATTCCCTTTGGTGGGGTGGGAGGGTTGAGAACAGAGGAATGCCGTAATACCTTTTGACTATGATAAGAGCGTGAGGTTGTTTAAATCCTTTAAAATCACTGAATATTAAATGTTTATAGGCTCTCAGTAGATACTTGTTGAATATCATCTAAGACAACTTCTAAATCCTATGCATTGATAGATGCTTATGGCATCATACATTACCTGACATTTATGTTCATTTGGGAAGCACTGTCAACTTGAAATTTTTTTTTCTAATGTGGTATATATTTTTAAAGGTCTCTCCTAGATTCTTTTCCTTTCGATGTCTTAGTCATATTCTGTGATTTGCCTTTTTCTGTTGGACCCTTTAGTTTTGATATTTCCTAAGATTCTGTCCAAGGTGCTCTTACCATGCTGTTCTTGATTACCGAGACAGTTTTAGTCATTCCCATGTTCACCTCTCTCCATATTCCTAACCAACTCTTGCAAGGAATGAAAGGGGGGAGGAGGAGGAGGAGGCATATCCACAGAGACTTTGGATACATATGTATACACTTATATAGAATATAAGTGTCTCCTGTTTTGCAGCGCCCACGTCTCGCCCACGTCTAATGCCCTCTTCTAGTCAGTAGAGCTGGAACTTTAATGCACATCTTTTAAATGCAAATTCTCACCTCAGGGTTTGCTCTCTGTAAAGTAGTAACCACATCTTCTGAACCAAAACTTAAGATACAGGGTCAGACAATATTTGAAGCCTGAACTTGTGGTGATAATTATACCACATTGCATTTTCATACCATTTTATTAAACTTATGTCGTTGACCTTTTTGTAGGCCGATAATAATAGCCATATATATAATGTAAAATTGCAGTTTTGACAAGTATAAACTGTACTATGGGGTATATTTACATACATTGTGTATTTGTGTGATTTCTTCCCTTGCAAATGATGATTCAAGTCAATGTGAAGGTTGAGAAGTTCAGCAGGCAGGGTAGGGTAGAGAGTTGAATTGCTCAAGGCTGGTGAGGGGTGAGATGGCTTGTACAGATCTGGTGATAGGAGGGTGCATGCTGTGAGGGGCAGCTGTCTCTGAGGACAGTGATTTGTGTCTTAAAGACATTTCCCCCTTCATTTTTTCCTTGTCCCTTATATTCCTTCCTTACTCTAAAAACAATTCAAAGTTGTAGTTTACATTAAATGGGGAGTAGTAGGAAAGCCAAGTATATCTGCTTTTTAAACTGCATGGTAGACAGTGTTTTGAATTAGAAGAACCATATTGTTGCAGAAATTAATTTTGCCTGGGCTTATTTGTAATGCAACAATGAAAAAAGAAAAGTTTTGTGATGGTGTTATTTCTATTCTGATTACCTGAAACTCCCAACATTTGTAATCTCTGCCCTGCCTAATTTACATAAACCAGAGAGTAACTAAAATTTGAAAATCTTGACTGAAATTGTAAGTGATTTATAGGTGCATTTTTTACTGTGAAAAATTTAGTATTCTTTTTAGTCTGTCTTTGTGTACTTGAGAAATAATTCAGGCTATAGAAATCCTATTAGAATATAAAAGGACTTTTGACCTACACTGAAGAACTCTGGTCTGTGATACTTAAACTTGATGACTGTTTATTTTTTGTTCTTGATATGCTTTTGTATTATCCTTCAAGATAATTCTGAACTTTTCATCCTCAAATATATTTCCTCAACTCTTCCTACCCAGATCTTGAATAGGGAAATTATATACCAGGAATAGAAAGTGATTTTCAGTACTTTTATAACATCTTTATAAAACTAAATTTATACCTTTTTTCTTGCAGAAAGGGCTATTGCAAGACATGAAGTCCGAGAAATTGAACAACGGCATACAATGGATGGCCCTCGGCAAGATACAGCTTTAGATGAGGAGGAGGACATGGTGATCATTTATAACAGAGTCCCCAAAACTGCAAGCACCTCTTTTACCAATATTGCCTATGACCTATGTGCAAAGAATAAATACCATGTTCTTCACATCAACACTACCAAAAATAATCCAGTGATGTCACTACAAGATCAGGTAACACCATTTGGGTATTACATAAATGTTTTCGGACAACTTTTCACTCAAGTTTTCCTTCTTAAATGTCCCTAGCTCAAAGGGCAACACATTTAAAGGAATATATAGGTCTTAAATCTCTTAGGGGAAGGTACCAATGAAACTTTTCTATATTTCTATATTTTTCTATATTCTATAAATGTATATTTGATACATTTCCCTGCATACAGTATGTATTCAGATACGTATGAAATAAATGGGTATGTTAATATCTTGAATTTTTGAAAAGAAAAAGGATGTTTTTCAGTAAAGTAACTTGTAATATGATTAGCAAGATGTCCTGCAATAAAAAATCATGGTATGTCAAACTTATGATAGAGAAATCCTTATTTGATGAATGCCTGTATCCTCTGTAGCACAATTTTGTGACTAGGCTATTGAATTATCATTACAAATAGTAATGTGACCTTTTTTTTTTTTTTTTAATTTTCTTGGGAACTTTATTCAGCAAAGACTGAAATAGCTATGTCCTGAGTTTGTGTGTTAAATTGTATTTTAACCAAAATTTCAGGGAGATAGCTGGAGCACTATTTGCAAAAGCATATCAGTGGTTGAGGCCGGAAGATCGTCTTCTCTCCCCACTTCCTGAGGCTTTTTAATATAATTATGCTCACTTTTGCCCATGTATTCTGTCTGGCTCAGTTGCAGTCTTTGAGTTCATCAAAAACTTAACCAGTCACCTGATGAGGTCAGTTAGGAATCTACAGAATCATCACTTCTAATGACAAACCCCTTATGGTTTCCCAGCCTCACCAGAGGCACAACCCAGGCATAGTGAGCACTGTCACTGGCAGCAGAACAAGCCAGCCACAGAGCAAAGTGGCAGTAAGGCAGCAGAATTCAAACAGGAAAGAAATTTTCTCTTATTTTTTGAAGATTTATTTTACTTATTTGTGCAGTATAAGCCCGAGGGATGCAGCAGGGTGGAGAGGATTCACCAGGACAGAGTAGGGAGCAAAACAGGCAGATCTACTGAAACACTGCTGACTGGAGCAGCGGATGAGACAGAAGAGGTCTGCTGTGCCATGTGGGTCAGCTCTCTGTCTGGGAGGGATCGAATTTGTGCTGTGGTGACTTTTGATAGCTTCTTAGTGCTGAAAGTTAACCTCTTGTGCCACCAGGTATGCCCAGAAATTTTCTTAAGAAGCAAATTTACTACCACTTTAGAAGTAGTAGCACATATTTTGCCTATACCTGGAGTTAAAACTAGAATTGCAAATATGTAAAGTTCTCTGCAAATATTGCTACATGTAGGATTGACTGGAAAAGATGATGTTTGGAAATACTGTTTAAGGTGAACTATTCAGTCCTAATGATATCAGCATAACCTTTTTAGAAAGTTATCTGTGGTATTCATACAGTTAGACTGTATCTATTTGAAACTGAAGAAGTTTTATTATTACAGAATTGATTATTACCTCACAGTCCTTACACTGATGCAAGAGAATGATGTTAATACACACAGTTAACTTCCACTTTCATGCTAGAGAGCTGTTTGTAAGGCTAATAGTATATGGCATATCATCTGCCCATATAATTCTTGGCTTTCTGCAGTATCCTCAATTACTCTTTTTCATGGGACCAAAAGTCTACATTCATCAGCCAAAGCAAATAACTCTTTCTGTAGATGAGAAGAAACATGAGCTTATTTAGCTAAGTGGGTCATAAAAACTATTCATTCTGTAATATTGTATATTTCAAGGCCAAGTATCCTAAATAATCAGTTTTTATACAGTGTGTAGTTGATTTTAAACCTATTTGCATGATTGCTTTTTAGAATAGATCTTGGCTTAAGAGGAAAATTTAATGCTTACATAATGATTTTAGATTTCTTCGGGAACATTTTTTTGAAAACTTCTGTGAACTTGCTTGGTCAATTTTTAGAATTATGTTGTATTGGCTTTATGAAGTTGTCTGGCAGCAGGAAGATGTCTCACAATGACAACTACCATTTAAATCTGTAGAAACTTGCCACAAATGACATTTACTGTATCATGTAATGGTACAGTTTTCCAGTTGCATTTGGAATATGAAACAAAGCTTCATATTTTCTTTCAATTGCTTGATCATTACGTGTGTGTGTGTGTAACAGACAGATAGATATATAGGCAGGCCATCAGAAGAAAAGCATAAACATTACCTTAAAAGCATTACATTTCATAATCAGCTGCACTTAACACATACTTGTATGGAACTGAGGAATAGTTTTAATCATCAGCTGACACACTTTAATAAAATTTCAGCTGGTAGTTCAAAATCTAATCTTAATTAAGTATGATTATATACAAAATATTTTCTAATATATCATATCAAAATTGTTAACTAGTGCCTTGATCTAGAAGCAGTTCCTCAAACAAGTCATAGTTACTGCATCCCTTTATTTTGTGTAGCATATTACATACATTTTTATTTTATGTTTGGTAAATATCTAAATGTAAACTTTTAAATTAGAATAGATGTCGAGCAAATAATTTATATATATATATATTTTAAGATTTTATTTAGTTTTGCATACAGAATACAGTCCAGAGGTGCAGGGGCAGTGACAGGATTCAGTAGTCAGAGTGGAGAACAGAACAGGCAGAATGACGAGGTACACTGCTGAGGGGAGCAGCGGGCGAGACAGGAGAGGTCTGCCGCGCCCTGTGGTTCACCTCCGGGGCTGGGGATCCAGCTCACACTGAAGCAGCGGCAGCTCACTTGCAGTGCTGTGTACCTAACCTGTTGTGCCACCAGGGAGGGCCCTGTAGCAAATAACTTCTTAAATATTCCTAGAGCCCATTTTGTATAAAATACTTTGATTTTAACATAGCGTTTTTTTGGTGTTGTGTACTGTTCTCAACTGCTTTACTATTTAAATAAGGATTAAGTGACCTGCTTTGTTCTTTCTCTAAGAAATAGTTTCTAGTTAGTATCTGGTTCAAATTACAGTTAAGATTTTTATTAAATCTGCTGAAGTCATTTGAAATTCAGTTTGCTCCTCAAAATTTTTTCTAATGTAATAGATGACCACATTTTCTTTCCTTGCCTACCAACCTCATCTGTCTAGTCTGTTTAGTATCTGAGTATATTTTGAACATACTATATTAGACCCATACTTAATCATTTCTCAACAGTTTTAGAGGCAAAGCCCAAATATTTCAGTTTGGTGTGAAACTATTTAATGTATAGTAGCTGTGTATATTCTGCTTTCCTTAGAAATAGTTGTCAGCTCTGCATTCAATTCTTCATTCCATTCATTGGGGAAATAACAAAGAAATTTTAAAAATAAGACCATATTTTTCAAAGAGCTTATTACTTGGGAATGTAAAACATAGCTGCAGGAACTAGGAGTGATCAAGAAAACATCCCTTTATGGTAGTGACACCAAAATGTTTAACCGACAATGCTCCTCCCCAGAATGTTTAGCTTGGACCTCACTTTGAAGAGATAGTTAAGTCCATATATTATAGAACATATTCTAGAACAACTGCTCTGAACTCTTTTACATGGCAGTGTTCTGACACTGGAAGAGTTGGAATGTGGTGCAATATCTCTACACTTTAAGAAAGTAAAGAGGCTGTGAAAACCATTGTCTGTGATTAGATTCTTGAATAGACTTGTCTGTGGTATGAGGTACCCTCTTAAAAAAATGTTTGCTACTTGCTACTTGATTTTAAATGATTCAGAAAAATGTTAACTGGGGGGTGGAGGGTGGGAGGATATTAACAAAACAACCTTGGTGGAAAAAGTACAGATGTTGCCTATTCTCTCAGCTTTTCCATAGTTTAGGTTTTTTTTTTTTTTTTTATTAAGAAGTTGGGATAAAACAAGAAAAAATTGAACATGGACATGAAAAAAAAAACATTTGAGGATATATGGCATGAGGAAACTATAGTAAGAATGAGGTGGACTCAGTCCTGAGAGTTTGATATTTGAGAGGATTTTATTCATTTAATATGCAAGAATAGGCAGGAGACAACAACGTATATTTTGCTATCATGAAAATATCTCTGCAGTAAAAAAAAAACTCGTCTTTGATTAAGTGTTAAATAGGTGTAAGTGGTTGCATCTTTTATAATCAGTTATTTTCATATATTTAGGTCTGTAATCATGTTTCACTTTTTTGTTATGATATGGAAAATAGTCAGCATTTGCAGTCTCTGTAGAACAACATAGTAATTTCTTTTTTTCTTTCAACTTGCTGTTAAATCAACGTCTGATCACTGCATTAGCGCCTATGGCTTGATATTATTGCCAGACATTGGTTATGCAGAGCAATTCTCTAGATGAGTGCTGCTGAACTATAATACGTATACTGTAGTCATCAGTTGAAATAGAGGTTCTGATGCAGAAGAACCGTTAGGGATCCTAATATTCTGAGTTTCCAAAAAGCTCCAATATAGGTATTTGTCCTTGATTCACATTGCAGCTAATGGAATTACAATGTTCCTAGGATGGTGAGGTACTTATCTTTAAATTCATCTTCATACTTCCCAAAATTAACCCAAGTACCTTCTGTAGGTCAACAGGCCCCTTTTAATCCAGCCCTTGTTCATTGTTCCAGCCTCCTCTTTACTAGCCACAGTGAACCGTTTGGCTCATTGAATACACTTAGAAACCTAGGCATTTTCTGTTAGAATGTACTTCTTAAGGCATCACTGACAGACTTCATGTTATCCATTTAAGATTTCAGCTTAAATGATACCCTCTTAGAAAAACCTTATGTATTAAATATGCATTCTTATGTATTAAGTACCTGCTCCAAGTTACAGTGTATCATCATTCTTTCTCAGTTCTTCTTAAAACTTATTGATTTGCTTACTGCTTTTTCCTTTGTTATAAACTGTAAGGACAGAAATCATGTCAGTCCTGTTCATCACCGTATCTCCTGTGCTAGGAACAGTACCTGAGTTATAATAGATACTCCATAAATTTTTTAATGAATAAATAAATAAACCAACTTAGCTTCTAAAGTAATT